TGGAAGGCAGGTTGAGGGAGATCATCTTACTAATTTTTTTTCTTGTAATGGCAGGCTGTGATTATGAACTGATTATTTCATAAAGATTTTGGTATTTTACACTATTGTGTTTTGCCAGTACTTAAAAAAATCCTGTCTTTCTTCTGCACTGGTTCCTCCACCCTCAATCATCAAGTTGCACAGAGTGAAGCTGGGAGAATGTGGTACATACAACAAGTGAGGTTTTTTAAGTCACCAAGACCCTGATAGTTCCCTAAATCCTGTTACTGAAAGAGTGAGTCTGAATGTACAACCAACAAAAGAGCTGTGAATATAAATTAAATCACTTTTCTTGAATCATCAAAGATAAATTAATTGTGTCTGTTGACCTTCAATAGGTAGTGGAGCAGATCTAAGTAATCAAGTAAAGCCATCGGACATGCTACTCAGCAGTCAAGGGTTTGAAGATAATATTACAGAATCGCAACATGTGCTAGTGGCCGAAATCATGGCATCAGGTACGAATAATGAGTTCTCCAGTAGAGTATTGGTTCCAACAATTTCCATCCTACCAATTAGAAATTCTGAATTATCTCTTTAACTTAATGTTGGCTAAATCTACACAAAGCTGGTGAAGCCAAAGTTGGACTCCAACTTCGGTCCTTCCTCTCTTCTGAACTGTGTGCCTGAGGAAGATGGCTCCATATTAGATTGGACATGAACTTTAATCATTGACACTCCGAACCTTCTTGGAAGAACTCCAACTTGGAAACAAGGGTGAAAAATAGGACAGAACAGATTGGAGTGCATCCTTCCATCCCTGGTATTTTTGGTATTTAGCCCATCTAGCTTTACTTCCATTAGTGTGAAAGTAGATAGTAATTGATAAGCAAATATAGGTTGTTGTTTTAGCTGCACCAGAAAGTCCACAAACAGCAAATGTTAGATTTTTTTTCATCGTCTACATGGCACATTTATCACCAAAAATGCTAAGTTGTTTGTTGAATATGTATCAACTTGAGAGAACCTGATTCTTTCATGTTCTATAGTCACTCATGAAGCTTATGTTTTCAAACTGGGTTTAGCTCAGCCCTAAGGCTTCTGCACACCCATCTCTGCTCACGGTAGGTCTCAGTGCAGCTCTACTTTGAAACATATTTATTTATATTTCTGAATAAGATTTTTAACAAAGTGTCTGTGACTAAAAATAAGTTTGAAAACCCCACAGTAGGACATTACCTACACTTAACAAAGCGCCCATCCAACTTGTGGTCTGCAGACTACTTTGTCAATGTATGAGTCCCTGGGACCGCTTACCCCTCCTTATAAGAACTTAGCAGTGCAATTTGGATAAAATACAAACAAAAAGGTGGCTATTTTTAATAACGATAATTTGTATAAAGCCGTAGAGTTTATCAGGTACTTTATTCTTTAATTGGATCTTATCACAACACATCATTTTCCAGATTTGAAAACTGAGACTAAGATATACTGTTAGTGAAGTGACCAAAGATTTTTGAAAATTATGACCAAATAATTAATTTATATGAAGGAAAGAAGTACTGGAAAACACTGTCATATTATGAATATTATTCATTTAATGACTATTTATCTGCCACGTACCATACTAAGTGTTGGGGATACTGGAAGAACTAAATAAAGCCCCAGTGTCCAAGGTCACAGTCTGATGTGGAGACAAACAAGAAGATGGAATAAAACAACAATAATAAATATTAACAGTAGAGAATTTTTCATAGTCAGTAGGGATCCCTAGAGGTTCATAGAGTATATTTTAAAAGACTAATATTTGGGGGACTCAAAGACCAACATAAATGACAGTAAATTAGTCACATGGGTGGGATGAGGAAGTGACAAAATAGCCAAAGATTTGGAATACATATATAATAGGCAGTATTTGGCTTTCTCCCTGGTGACTATACTCAGTTTTGTGCAGAACAGATGAAATTGATTGTCCTGGTGAAAATTACTTCATCTTTCCATACCTATTTTGTCTTTGCCTATAAAGTTGTAGTTATACCTGTGTTAGGCTGAGGGGTCTTATTTATATTTTACAGTGAGATTTCATTTCAATAAATTGTCTATACTTAAATAAGTTTGAAAACTCTATATTAGATTTTAGCTCAATATATTCTTATTCTCCAAAGCATGCAGACTGATATGTAGCAAGTAGATCTGTGTACAATATGGCTAAAAGATTCCATCACAAAAAGTTTCATTGTCACATTTATCAAAATCACAAATTATTCTAAATTCATGAATAAAATTTAAAATTTTTAATGTGGCCTGTTGGGCCCTAGATGAACTAACCGTTACACAGCTCGCCAACTTAAATCTGTGCCCTTCCTTCCTCTACTTACTGTGTCTGGCTTCAGTTACCCTGGCCTTACCTAAGTGACATACGGGTATTGTGTTCTTGGTCCACAGTGCTCTTTCTAACTACATCAAGTCCTGCTAATTCGTCACTTCTCAGTTTCACGTGCCCTTGCTCAGAAAGCCTTTCCTAGTCTCCTGACCAGGTGAGGTGAGAGCTACTTCAGCTCTCAGAACTAGGTATTGTTTCATGATAGTGCTTATCATAGCTATGCTTCAATATCAATTATGCAAGAAAGCAGAACCCTTGTCTATATCCTTCGCCACTGTATTTTTGGTCCTCATTAAGATCTGGCACATAGTAGGCACTTTTGAATGAAATTATTAATTTTACTTACAGGCCCAGAATCTTTTCTAGTGTGATAAGGCTAATTCTGATTCAGGCTGTCACAACATTCTTCTTTATCATCCTTATTTCAAGATGCATAATATTTTAGAATTCTCAAAGGATTTTTTAAAAAATCATATTTTTCTTCAACAATCATGTGAAGTGGACTGGATGGAAATTGTCACCTGTATTTTAAAGAAGAGGAGCATGGAGCCCTGGTATTCTTTTTTTTCAAAGCTGGTTCGTGGCAGAAAGAGCTTTGGCTATAGCCCATCCCTCCAACAATTTCATATCTATTGCTTTTCATTATGCAAAGCTGCCTTAGAGTTTGCAAGTTACCAAATAAATCCTGAATCATATTCTAATTTAAGATAACTCTGCAAGTGATTTAAAATTTCTTGAGTAATTGGATACTGTCCACCACACATTCTGAATAGCCTTGTGATTTGGGAGCTAGGCCTCCAAATAAATGTTGAATCAAATGGGTAATTGATTAATCTGAATTTATCCATCTCCGAGAGTCATGAGTGACAGAGAACCAGGCAAACCTGAAAGAAATCTCACTAAGCCTGAAAGAGAAATCATGTTTTTCTCTAAGAGAAGTCTCATTCAAATCGCTAAGCAAATCAAATGCAATTATCCAATGTCTGCGTTCACATGGCATCGAATCCTACTTAGATAATTTAACTTTCTTTAATTTATGGGCAAGTTTGAAGGGCTTCTTTGACTTCTTCTATACTCATTTGAGCAAATTTAGTAGTGAATAGACAGATGACAGTTTATAACTGTGGGATGTCAGATCCCCTTCACTCTAAAAGGGAGGAGGCATTTAGAGAATGATTATATATATATAAGTAGTTAAGAGAAAAAAAACTTGCTCATGTTTATGGCTCATCATGCAAATCTGTCCCCTGGGGCATTTGCATTTCAATGGAGTATGAAATCAAATGATCCAGTTACAACATTTAGTTTGTATGGTTCGTGACTTTGTAAAAGTGCCTTGAGGTTTGCAAGTCACTACATAAATCCTGATAATAAGCATATATTGTGACATACATATTCTATTATATGAAATATAAGTTTAGTAAATTGAGAATAAATCTTTATGACTGAATCTCTTTGTCATTTTGGTACACAGAGCTACTTGGCTTTATATTATTCTGTATGCCTTTGAGGGATAAGAATATTTTGACCTCTTTTGTATGTCATAATGATTGGGAATTCTCAAATGAGCAATAAACTTTTTGAAATTTGAGTCCATTTACTCCTAGCAATTTTATAATTCGAATTTTAAATGCTTTTAAAGCTTGTTAATAAGTTCACCCAGGGTCGTTTGACCAACAAACACTTCTTTAAGACTAAAGATTTGTTAAAAACATAGAAATGGAAACATACGGCTTGTGGGTCCTTTAATATAGCTATAACTTGCAGGTCAACAGTGTTTCTATTTGGAGATTAACCCGTCCCAAACCTTGAGAAAGGAAAAGCTGGAATGCACTGTAGAACCCAGAACGTGAAAGCCCATTTTCTCCTCTGAGGTCTGGAAATAATCTGATGGGGTTCTCACTGTTTGCAGATGACGACGACTGTGGTCCCATGGAGTGTGGTGCACACTCTCAATGTGTTTCAGAGGGAGAGGTTGCCACGTGTCAGTGTTTGAAAGGATTTGCTGGGGATGGAAAATTATGTTCTGGTAAGAGTAAAGGCCAGTTGATACACATAATTGTGGAAAATAGTGAACATTCATTCTCTCAGATCATATGGGTTCGAAATCTCCAGAAAGATTTACGTAATCAGCAGAATTGAATAAATTATTTGGTATTAGCTAAGAAGATTATGGGTGGCATGTATAGTAAATATGAAACATATATGTTGTTACATTACCTTGAGTTTATGTCAAAATTATGTAATTTATGCAGTTGACATTAAGGAGAAAAATTTATAATTAGTTTCAGAAGCATGAATTTGAGTTCAAGTCAAATTTAAAAATTTAACAATTCCAATAAAAACATAACTTTTTTTTCCTCCCAAAAAAGCTTAGGTCATAAGTTTTAGTTTAGTAAATGGATTGTGAGGCATAGGTTTTTGTTTTATATTAATAGCCTCAAAATTTAAAATCAAACATGTGAGAAATCTGTAAAAAATGATTCAGACATGAACTTTATGTCTAAGAAATAGAATTTGCATTGCATTTGCAAACAGTCTCTGTAAACGACTAAATGCTTGTAAGATTATACTCATTCTTTTGTATTAGCCTCATTTATATTGAGATTGCTTATATATTTCATTAGTTCATCATTTGCCCACAGATATAGATGAATGTGAGATGGGTATCACGGTGTGCCCGCACCCCTCTTCCAAGTGCATCAATACTGAAGGTGGCCATGTCTGCCAGTGCTCACAAGGCTACCGAGGAGATGGAATTCACTGTCTTGGTAAGAGCGCATGTGCTGAGGCGGGTGGGTGGAGGCAGGCCTTAGAGAATCACGAAGTGCTCTGTCTGTGGTAGGCCAAGAAAAGATAGGGTCACACACATGATAAGACTAAAAAAGGAGTTGCATGACCCGTTCAAACGGACACATTTCTGTTCTTGGTACATAGTCAAGTTTATGCCTTCATGCTGTTCTTTCACTAGTCAATGTCAAATCCGTGCGGAGGTTATTTACCCCTCTGCCTTTCTAATTCTTTCTCTGGGATGAAGTGACACAGTGCCTCATCAATACTCCATACTTCCAGCCATAATGAGGGGATTTGAACAACATTTTCTTTGTCACTGAATTTGTCGATTGAACTGTGGTGAACCGCAGAGCTGATACAGGTTTTGCTGTGTGTGTGTAGATGAAAGAAGGTGTGGTTCTGTGAAAAAACTCCTCGGGTGGCTTTTGATAAGTTCAATAAATGAAAGACTCAAGCAAGGCACTGACATTTAGATACAAATAAAGAATGAGTAAGACTTCTTTCATAATCACCATCCTCTGCCAAGTTCTGGGTGTGGCTCGTTGGATGGGAGTTCACTTAGTGGAGGTCTTGTCCCATTCCAGGTGTCAGTAGTATAGCATCACCACACAAGTAAAGACCTGCCTGAAGCCACTGGAGCCCAGTGAAGTAGTTAACTAAAGTTTTACAGGGCTTTAAAATGTCTCTTTCAGTATTTTCTTTTCCTTCTAAAAACATAAAATTCTTTTCACGGTGAGGAGCAGATGCCCTGATAAGAAACTAAAATGGTACTGCTTTCTCCTGCATGTTGAGGTTAAAGATGAACTATCAGTCATAACTACCAATTTTCTGGATCTGATTGGTTTAAATCAGACCTTTATCAGATTAGTTTCATCGAGTCCGCAGACATCTGTAAATGCTCTTTTAAGCACATATTTGGCTGTCAGTCAGGAAAATGTCACTGCTCCAATTAAGTAGGCTCATAGATAATTTAGACAAACAGGCTTTATATTTAATTTACTTTGAAGAGAAAGAAAGGCATACTTTCTTGGATGTTTAAACTCATTAGACTCTGAATTTTCACTCTGTTACTAACCCACCTCCTTCCAGTAGCAAACATGCCATGGGGTGTCATGTCCAGGAAAGACTGAGCTTGTTCCTGTCCACTCCCTGTCCCCTTCCTTCTCTCTCTACTCCTCTCTCCTTCCCTCCCTCTCCATAGATAGATAGATAGATATCGATAGAGCTATGGATAGATGCAGTGCTATATAAAAGCATTGTTATTCTTATTGTTAAGGGTAGTTGTGTTTTTTGGCCAAGAGTATATCTTTGTTTTTGCTTCTTGCAAAAGCTCTCTCTCTCAAGGCGATAGATAGTTCATACAAATTATAACAGAAGTCAGTAAAAACAAAACAAAACAAAACAAAACAAAACAAAACAAAACAAAACGAACCCTCAGTTTGAGTTGTTCAGGTTAGCAATTCAATGTGATAAATATTTAATTGGCCTCTATTAGTGCAAAGGCACAGTACTTGGAACTGTGAGAAATACCAAGATGGTGAAGGCAGTTCTTGCTTACAGAAAAAATGTGATCTAAAAGAAATACAGCTTTGATAAGTGGTGAAGAAAGATATGTATCATAAGAGAAGTGAAAACTACAGTGGAAGTTCATAACTGGAAGAAATATCTGTTTGAAGTAATGGGAATGTTTTCAGGGAGGAAGTATCATTTTGGATGGACCTTTGGGCATTTTCCTTAGGTAGAAATGAAAAAGCAGAGAATAGCCTAATTGAGCACTAAGTGTAGGTTGTATATAACGGAAAACAAACTGAGGCTGGTAGGGTGGTATCTTAGTCTGGTATATAGACTAGGTGGCCTAAACAACAGACATTTATTTTCTCCCAGTTATGGAGGCTAGTTGTCCCATATCAAGGTGCTGGCTTATTCGGTTCCTGGTGAGGATTCTTCCTCGTGTACAGATGGCCGCCTTGCTGCATACACACATAGCCTTTCCTCTGTGGTTCATGGAGGTAGGGATGGGGAGGTATCTGTAGATCTGGCATCTCTTCTTCCTTTTGGATCAGGGCCCGTCTCTTATGACCTCATTTAACTTTAATTACTTCCTTATTAGCCCTTTCTCCAACTATAGTCACACTGAGAGTTAGGAATTCAATAAATAAATTTTGGGGGATACAATTTAGTCTATGACAGGTGGGTTGGGTTACATTTGTGGAAGACTAGCATCTGATGAGGTTTTACTTCTTTAGACCAGCACTGTCAAATGGAAATATAATGTCAGTCGCATGTGTAATTTAAAATTTTCTAGTACATTTGAAAAAGTAAAAAGAAACAGGTGAGGTTAATTTTAATAATATTTTATTTATTCCAAAATACCCCAAATATTAACATTTTAATATTGAATCAATATAAAAGTTATTAAGATAGTTTACATTCTTATTTTGGTACTCAGACTTCAAAATCTGGCATGTGTTTTACACTTCCAGCACTTCTCGGTGTGGACTAGCTGTGGTTCAGCTGCTCAGTGCTCACACATGGCAACGGCTACCATATTGGACAGCTTAGGTCTAGGCAACAGAGAGCCACCGGCAGCATTTGAGTCAAGTGGTCCAGTGACAGGAGATGCGATTGAGGAAGATTCATCTGGCACTGGTGCTGAGTGGAGGAGAGTGGGATGCAGAGAACATAGTTAGGCTGTTCTTCTTAAATAATGCAAAACCGAGGAGCGGAGGGCCCTAGATGTTAGGGTGGTGGTAACTGAGGAAGGAAAAGGTGGATAGTTAGGAAAGAAAGTGATGACTCAGTTTATCTTTATGTTAAAAGGCAAAAGTGTTTTATTTGATATGATCAGGACTTCTAAATGTTTGCCTAGATATAGTTTACCAATCTCCAACCTTCCCACTGAGCTTCTTGTGTTGGGAAGGTTCTTTCCCTTCCAGGCAGTGGGAAAACTCCTAGCCTCATGCCAGGAGTTTATCTGGATGGACAAGCAGCCGAGAGACCCCCTTCATCTCTCTCACCAACTTTCATGATAAAATTTTCGAATCTAAAAATGTGTGGAGCTCTGAGAACGTGCAGCCTGACAGAAGGCAAAGGTGCTTCCCTTCTAGAATGTTGGGTTTTCTAATTGAATGACCCTCATCCTCTTCTATACCCCACTTTTCTCTTCTCTGCTCCTTTTTTTTTTTTCTGGCAGATATTGACGAGTGCCAACTGGGCATGCACACCTGTGGGGAAAATGCCACCTGTACAAACACAGAGGGAAACTACACCTGCACGTATGCCGGTATCCCGTCTGAACCTGGACGGGTTTGCCCTGGTAGGTTGGCGGGTTATCTAGATCCAAGGGGAGGGACTTGATTCCAGAAAATTCTGTACTCCAGTGTATTTGCATTAGAGATTCTAGAAATCATTTGGTTCAATCAGCCTGGAGAGTTTGCTTTCCTGATTAGGCTGATGCTGGGTTTGAGAATGTAAAATGGTCCAAGTTTTCTTAATTTAACAACATCTGGAATAAATCCTATTTTATTACTTGTAATTCAATAAAGGTGGAAACACAGGTGGTTCTCTTTAACTATGCAGCTAATGTCCTGATTTGTAATGTTGATTTCTCAGGCTGCTGGAACAAGTCTGTGCGGTTAGACAGGTTGAGGAGGGTATCTGGACTTTTCGCATTCTGAATCATTTAAAAATATTACTTTAAAAAGTCAGTATTTCTTGATCTGAATTAGAATTCCAGCTATGTTTTCTTTCTTTTTAAATGTTCACAATGGTCGGCTCCTGCGTCCTAAATCTCTCCCCATACTGCAGTATCTTCTCTCCATCAGCGCCCCAGAAGGGGACTGGACGTCAGAATTGGGGCTCTTTTCTATTACTGCCAGCTATTTACCTGCCTCTGCAAGCAGAAAACATACTAATAAATGAAAGTTCTGTGCTTGCTTGGGTCTCTTTTTTTTAAAACATGATTTTATCAAATAATTTGCTCTTCTTAAAGGTATCGGAAGACCGTTACTATTGATATAGTCAGCTACACACCTTAACGTTTTCCTTTTAAAGAGCAGTGAAAAATTCAATGAAAGGATCTTTGCCACTTTGGCATATGGTAACATTTCCTCTCTGTCAACGTGACTAGTTTTGTCTTTGAGGGTTTCCCTGAAAGTTAAATATTTTTTAGAAGAAATTATTGTGTGGGAGAAAATTTGGAGACTCCCAGGATAGTGGGGGTAATAGACTGTGTACTGGTGGGTGGTTTATAAGCCGTAAAGAGATATTGTTGTTCAGTGAGACCCTCTTAAAGCTAGCTGTCATTTCACACAGTTAGTATGTGTTTGTGGATGACAGATGTGCTTTTATAATGAGATCA